TATAGTTTTGGTTTGCACTTGCAAAGGATCTGAAAGCACAGAGTCCATATTTTTATGTTTGAATATTAAATAACAATATAGAATTGTTCAATGCTGAGAAAATTTAATCAATTTTTTCCCAGTACTGATTCATAAAAATAGAAAAATTATATGTATTTATCCAGTATCAGTGGTGTATTGATACATGGATATATTGTGCAATGTTGAAACCATGCCTGACCTCTTCTAGCTTTCTGAAACATTCAATACATTTTTGTTATTTGTAGTCGCCCTACTGTTCAGTAGCACACCAGAACTTCTTACTCAGGGTAGCCTTGAACTCATAATCTTCCTGCCTCGGGCTCCAGAGTGGTAGGGTTACAGGTGTGTGCTACCACATCTAGCTTGGGAGAGATGTTGATCTTGCTGTATTTTTCCACAGTACTCTTTGGGGAATAATTAAATTGCAGACTATTGACTCTAGTAGCTGAAGTATCCTTAAGTCACCCAAGGCACTTGAATGGAGCTGGACTCCACAACAAATTCCACACATTCCTTCTAAAACACCTGTAAACCTTGCCTTGTCTCCAATCTCTTTCCCTCCTTCCTTCCAAATATTTGTACATAGATTTATATTCCAATTTTAGTTTTAAAGAAGATTTTATTTAACACTGTATTGTGAACATTGTACTACCTTTGAACATTAACTACCTTTGAAGTAGGGAAAAGAGGAAAGCATGAAGCCCTGAGTGTCATAATTTTTGCCTTTCTTAGGGAACTAGACTCTGGTTTGGCTGAATCTGTATCTACACTTATCTGGGCAGCTCCTCGACTGCAATCAGAGGTGCCCGAGTTGAAAATCGTAAGTTTGAGCAATTTTAACTTCTTGTGTCATGATTGTAGGTGAGTACTGCTACTGTGACTTATTTGGAATTGTGGGATTATTTGGAGGATCCTTTCCTCTCAAGGTTAACCAAAAGAGTATTTTCTGTTCTTTTTTTTCAATTCATTAAGTTCACTGGTATATTTTAGGTATACATTGTGATCACATTCATCATTGGGAATTTGTACCTGTACATGATATATCTTGGTTCTTGTTTTTTCCCATTCCCCTTCCCTCCCTTCCACCCCTCCACACCTCCCTATTAATGGAAGCTTTGCTTCTGTTTTTTCCTTCTTTTTAAGAGTATTTTCTTTTATTGGATTTTTTTTTCTTTTTTTCTTCAGCACTGGGGATTAAACCTAGGACCTTAGGCAGGTATACAAATCACTTATTTCCATTCTTACCATTCTTGCTTGTAAGATACTACATTCAAAGCACTGGGAAACATGGGTCTTTCATTTCCTTTTCTCCCCTTCCATCCCTCCCCCTGCCCTGCACTATGTTGTTCATCTGGTTTTAATGCTGCATAAAAATGCATTGTCTCATGCCTGTTTGCTTTGGATGCTGTGTGCTAAGTTGTAACAAAATGTTGCTTCTTTTGTTATCTGTGTACAGCTACTTGCTTTAAATTAGTAGATTCTGAAATAGCTTTTCTTCCATGTCTAAAATAAAAGTATTGCATGTACTTCAAAAAACCCAAAAAAACAAAAAACCTAGGATCTTTGCACTGAACTACATACACCCCCAGCCCATTATTGAAAAACAATTTTTAAAATTTTGAGACAGGGTCCTAAATTCTTAATTACCTAGGCTGAGCTCAAATTTGTGATCCTTTTGCCTCAGCCTTGAAGAATTCTGGAATTACAGGTGTACAACACCATACCTGGTCTCTTTTGTTAGTCTTTAAGTGAAAAATAAATAATTTTTCGTGGCACTGGTAAAAGAAAATAAATAAGCCTTAATAAAATCAAAATGACACTTAAAATTGGGTTTCTTTTGGGAGGAGTGTCATACTTTATGAGCTGTTTAGAATTAGAGGTTTTAAGACTGACATTTGTCAGACACTTAAAAGCCAAATGTTTGTTGTGATTGGTGTTTTGATGTTTAAAAAACTCAACTCCAGGCATAACATGAAAGTAATTTTTGCTTTCTTCTTACATTGTTCTTCATCTAAAGTAAGCTGGCCATAACTGGATGAATTTTGCCTTTCTTTCTTCATTGGTGATGGTTTGCTGTAGGTATCTTATCAGCTGTGTGCAAAATACAGCCAAGAATATGGTCAACTCTGTCGAACCAATGAGATTGGAACTGTGAACTCTCAGGTAACACCATTTCCACAGACACACATTTTTCTAAACCAAGAGGTCGAGGAAAGAGTAAGCAAACTCAGAAGATATAATTTTGTACAGAACTGCAAGATGTGTAGAAATAAATTTAGCATTGGAGGCAGAGCAACTTGAATAAAATTAATGGACTATGGAGTAGAACTCAAAGTTTTATATAAAAGAAGCTAAACCCCTCTACACCCTCCCTCAAAAAAGAGAGCTGATTTCTTTTTAAAGAAACCGTACATTTTTCTAAATGTAACAGGCCTGGTAGTTGGAAGGAAGCTAATGAAACTTAGAAACTTCACCTCTTGAACAATGACATTATAACCACACTTAGTAATTCAGGATTGACATTCAGCTGGAAAACAGAGACCTGGTACTGTACTTGTTTCAGGCCAGTGGACATTTTTGACAGTCAGAGCCATACTGTACTGGTTATTTTTTTAAATAAATTTTATTTTATTTATTCCATCCCCCCAAGCTCCCTCCTCCCTATGTATACTGGTTATTAAATATGTTAAATATCATCCCATATATAATTTAAATACTTATCACAAAATCAAAATTCCTTTTTTTTTTTTTTTTTTTGAGGTAAGGTCTTGCTGTGTAGTTCAACCCGGTCTTGAACTCATTATGTACCCCAGGCTGGCCTCGAATTTGTGGCAATCCTTCTGCCTCAACCTCCCAAGTGCTGGGATTGCAGGCATGTACCACTGGGCCTGGCAAAATCAGAATTCTTGATTTGAAATGTTTTTTCTCATATTTACTTTCTTCAAGAAGTGGTTTGACTTTCTTTAATTCTTAAGATAGGGCTGTCCTATGATACATTCTCAAGCAGGGCCCCTCTCTGACACTACTTTATGCACATTTTAAAAATTATATATCTTAGACAACAGAGACTAGAGAGATGAAGAACGGTGATTCAGAATTGAAAGACCGGGCCAGGGATTTAGCTCAGTGGCTCGAAACCTGCCTGGGAAGCACAAGGTCCTGAGTTCGATCCCTGGTACCGAAAAAACAAAACAGAGTTGAAAGACCACCTAAATTGTTTTTGTTTCTCATTTTCCAGGTATCTGATAACCAAATCTGTTGTGTTCTTTATTTTGCAGCTAATGTATAAATTAAACGTGAACACTCTACCCCAAGTTCTAATGGAACAATACTTGGTAGAAATTGCTAAGAACTATAATGTGCCCTATAAATCCAAGGTAACCATTATGATAAGTTCTTTCAAGAAGGGAGAAATGTGGGCTGGAGGATTGTGCTTGCTAAGCATGTACAAGGCCCTGGGTTCTATCCCTGGTACTGCAACAACAAAAATAAAAAATAAAGTAAGAAAAGATTTGAAGCTGACATTTTTGTTATGGTCCAGAGGCTTTTTTCTATTTAGGGATGCAGCTTGCAGAGTTACTCTGGAAGAATGGTTAAGCAGGTGAAGTTTGTACTTTCTCTGTGCCCGTATACCTAAAAGACTCTTACAAATGAAGAACGGAGTTGAAAACAGAAATGAAAGACCCTAAAATGCTTCATCCAGAAATGTGTCAAACATTTTCATTTCTTAAGATCTTAACATTGTCCTGGGGCAGGGAATGTAGCTCAGTGGCGCCGCACCTGCCTGGCAAGCACAAGGTCCTGAGTTGGCTTCCTGGTACTGGAGGGGAAAAAGGAAAAAAAAAAGTTGTCCTGCACATATTTTGCACTTTAATAAATAAATCTTGGAATAAAGGCTACAAGATACAAAGCTACTCAGCAGTATCATTTGGTCTAGGTTCAGAGTATTGGTTCAAGTCAGGTGTGGTGGCATATCCCTGTAATCCCAGCACTCTGGAAGGCTGAGGCACAAAGATTGGTATTTCCAGCCCAACCTGGGCAATTTAATGACTTATTGCGATCCTGTTTCAATAAAAAGTAAAAACAAGGGGGGTTGAGGATGTTGCTCAGCACAAAGACCCTGGGTTCAATTTCCAGTAGCGCGCGCGCGCGGGGGCACGCGCGCGCGCACACACACACACACACGAGAGAGGGAGGGAGGGAGAGAGAAAGAAGTGAAATGACCCATATTCAGATCCTACTTCCACTGTCTATTAGCCATGAGACATCGAATAACTCTCAAAGACTCAGTTTTTTGGACTGTAAAAAGGGAGATAATAATAGTTCTTGTTTCATGAATTTGTTGAGTTGATTAAATTAGCTAACACAAGGAAGCTGAATGTCAAATGCAATGCCTAATATGTAACAAATGTAGTCAAGATTTTTATTTTGTTTTGTTTTGAGATGAAGCCTCACTTTGTTGTTCAAGCTGATCCTTATAACTCCTGGGTTCAAGGGATCCTTCCTTGTGCTGGGAATACAGAGTTGTGTCACTGTGGCTGGCTTCAAGTTTTGCTTGTTGTCATCATCATCATAATGGAGGGTGGACTAATCCTTCCAGAGGTAGTCATGGGCTGTCTTTAGGCAAGAAGGATTTCTCCCAGAGCTTCTCAAATCACTTTGTGCAGGAAGCTACTTGTTTGAGAGATTAATTAGGCTGTGTCTGGTGCCTTCTTTATGAAAGTTGGCCTCATAGTCGAGTGTCAGACTTCCACTCGGTGGGGTCATGGAGTGATGGGGGAGTCTGTTCTGTGTTCACACTCCGCTGCCTTCAAATTGCTGGAGCAGCATGTATCAGGTTGGGTTGTGACTAAGGCACACATTTATCTTTTTCTTTTTTTTTCTTTTTTGGTACCAGGGATCGAACTCAGGTCCTTGCACTTTCATGGCAGGTGGTAAAACCACTGAGCTAAATCCCTGGCCCCATTTATCTTTTTCTAATGCTTTGCTTCTGATATTTTCTTGATAGGATCTCTTTAATTTTTTTTTCTCTAAGAGTCATGTAGCTTATTGAAAAGTGACACATTTAAAAATTTTCACAGTAGGGAGGGGGATTTAGCTCAGTGGTTTCACTGCCTGCTGTGCAAGCGCAAGGACCTGAGTTCGATCCCCGGTACCAAAAAAAAAATTTTCACAATACAGAAAGGGACTTTGAAGAAATAAAATCCACAAAAAGTGCCACTAGAGTTGTGCTCAAGGGCTTCCTCTTTGGACTCTTCTATATTTTTTTTGTCTTCAGTGCTGGAGATTGTTTCAGGCTTTCATACACAAGTCTGTCATTCTTTGTATTCCCTAGGTAGTTTCATCGGGGGGATGTGTCCTTTATCTGAAATGCTTGGGGCCAGAAGTGTTTCAGAGTTCAGATTTTAGGTGGTGGTGGGGATTTGGAATTTTTGCATATACCTTCTAAGATATCTTGAGGATAGACCCAGGTGTAAGCATACAATTCATACACATAGCCTGAGGGTAATTTTACACAATATTTTTGTTGGACTGTACCAGCATTTTGACTGCAACCCATCCCCTGAGGTCAGGTGTGGAATTTTCCACTTGTCATATCATGTTGGCACTCAAAGAGTTTTGAGTTTGGGATTTTGGGGTAGGGGTGCTCAACCTGTACTGTCTTTATAATGGGGGCTTCTATTCGTTCAGGCTTCTAGCCCCATATGAACTCCAGATTCATATATCCACCTGCCTTCTTGATATCATTACTTGGATGTTTCAGAATCACCTGAAACTGTGTGTTATCACTGCCTCTAGAACCCTACTCATTCTACAGTTAATGGCAATTCTGTGCTAGGACAAAAAGCTTGAATCTTCCTTGACTCTTTCTCTTAACCGACCCCGCCCCCCCCGC